ATTACAATAGATTTCACGGATATACTACCAAACTCATTCAAGATATCGCTTCAATTAATGTACCTGGTAAGACCCAAGAAAGTTCAAAAGAAATCGAATAAGGGACCGCGCTTAAATTTATATTATAAGTACGTACGTGTTTTTGTAAATTTTAAATTCCTATTTAATGTTGTTTCAAGGTTTTCTTTTGTTTTGTTCTTGTATATAAGGTATGAATGAGTCTCACATAGCTCTATCTCATATAGCACTTAATGCCCTTAAGTGCGACTTTTTTGTTTAATGAAAAAAAGAAGAAAATTATACTAAAATCAGGATAGGAAGAGATGCCACTGGGCACCTCTCTTCTACACACCACACAATGTCTTTTTACTACTCTAATTCTCGACAGCGAACTCACAGATTGCCAGTGCTTATGTTAGGTATAAAGGTGAGTGAAGAAATGAAGTTAAAAAAAAAAAGTAACAATAATTGTGTTTGGATATGTCTCTTTCTATACGACCTTCTTGTAGTAACTCGTGCTAGTTATTAACAATTAGGCAGGATGGAAAAGAATATTGGTTATTCATTTACTTTATGAGTAGTTTTTTTCTTTTATTACTGTTGTAGGAAAAATTAATAATTTTCAAGTTAAAAAAAATGTGAATTATTGAAGTGTCAACGAGGCATGTAGATAATCCTAAGAGGAAAGTGAAATGTTGGGAAGAATTATACAAAATTAATATGTTTTATAAAAGTCTAGATTCCTGTTATCATCTCAAAACAGTCAGACCAATTACATCTATCATTGAAAACCAAAAGCTATTTGTTCAGACCAAACATTATTAGCAACAAAAAAGTTTTATAGGGAAGCAAAGAAACATATGTGTAATACATTGGACAGGTGCAAGTACAAAATCTTCAGTCCTTATCAATGGAAACAACAACTGACACCTTTAAACAAAGGTAAAAATAATAATAATAATAGTGATGAAATAAAAAAAAATGAGGCAGAATAGAATGATATATCTAAAAAGTAATATAAATAAAATAAATAAATTTGGCTTATGGGTGATTTGATTTTCGGATTTTGAATAATAAATGTGTCAATATTTTTTTTGCATCATCATAAGAAAATGCAGACCATTGTGCGCCGTTTCATTATTCAGCAAAAACCTTAACTAACCCATTCGAAAGCGATTTTATTTGAAAAATTAGGAAAGAAACCTCAATGCACGATATAAAGTCATAAGAATTGCTAGAAACTCATGAAGATCCTAAAAAATAAGGTTTTCTGACACGCCAACACAAATCTTTATTCTGCAAGTCATAACAGTTTCGTTACACAATATAGAATAATCTAGTGCCAAAAAGGGTTCCATCCAACTTATTTTTTTTTGCTCAAAAAATCAAAAAGTTTGAGTAATACCTAACTATATTTTCTTAAACGAAGAATTTATATACGATAAGCAATAAATTAAAACTAAAATCACGTTAATAACTTATTTTTGACTGTAATACTTATTGCACTATAAAAAAAATTAATGCAATAAGTATATCTGATGTAAAAAAATAAAACAATAAGGTACTACCTATTGGTAGATTTCAATAATTATTTTAATTTAGAAGGTCTCATGTTCATCTTCTTTTCAGACGCATCGGACTGTTTCGGAAATGACTAGGATCATAGGTTATGGACAAAAAAGTTTGGACTAGCATTTTGAAATTTACAGAGCAATTTTATTCATAACATAATTATGAATTTTAGGGTTTAGGATTGTAAGGATTAGATTCGGAAGAAAATTGATAATTTTCATGAGCCCAAAACCTTTACCCGTACGACCAATGGAACTTGATATTAATGCATTCATATGGTTTATGATTTTTGTAGTATATACATATATTTTTTTCCTACCCCCCAGGATTTTATTTGCTATACAAAATACGATATACAAATGCATAATGAAATATATATACAAAAAAAATTCTAATTTCCTTTTATTGCCCAAGGGCATTTTAAGGTAAAAGGGCTATGCACGCTGTATGCGTACATTGCATCTGTGGCCAAAGGCCTTTTATTATACCACTGGGCGTGGAGGGACCGCCCTGCTTTGTATTATATTCCAAATTTAGAACGTTTTTCAAGACATGTTGTAACCGCAAGCTAGAGAATTTTTTTTTTATCTTAGTTTTGTATGAAGATTATAAGTAAAACACTTGTCAAGATGGAATCCCAGGAGCCATTCAACCGAGATTAGTGGAATATTACGAATGGATACTGTAGAACAGTATGTAGTGGATTTATATCGAACAGTAAAGTTAATTTGATGAGATTTATTGTAAATCTCCATTTATGAAACTCTTCTTCATTGGTGGTTTAAGGGCCTATCACTGAGCTGTGAGCGGGCTAATAGGAAACATGTAGTTGGATAGATAAGTTTTTGATGTCTCTAATAGGATTATTGTTCGTGTAGTAACATTTAATAGAACTTCCAGGTAGTTAGTTTTTTTATTTTTTTCCAAAATAATAATCTGCATATATATATAAATTAAATCCTGGATCCGCTACTGCTATAGAAGTTGAGTAAGTCACCATTTTATAATTTTAATTAGTGTAATAATAACAAATATACGGTACCGCTAAAAAGATCCACCTACAAAAACTTCAAATCTTCCAATCAAAATTATTGCGACTCATAACAAAAGCAACTTGGTATTTAACTCACAGAACTCTAAATACTGATCTTCCAACAGCAGACCAACATATAACGACCCCTTTCCAACGATTTTATAGCAATTTAAACGGACATCACAACAGATTAATAAGAGACATGGCCACAACTGACGTATCCCAGAACACGAAGCGGAGACTAAAAAGGCGCTGGATGAAAGATCGCCTTCCTTAAACAACCTAAGTAATTGAAACAAGTCAGGGAAGAGGTGGTGCTGAGTATTTTCCTTCCCCATGTCATTTATATCTTGTATTGTCCAGCATACTTGCTGATTGTTAACAAAAGTTAACAGACGCAAATACATTTTTTTTTATAGCCAAAAGAAAAATTAGTGTAATTGACCTATGTAATTAATGAACGCTGACTGACTTACCTTTATATTATATTTTGTGGTGTTGTATTATTAATGATGTCAGGGATATATTAATACACACTAACTAAAAAATACTTAAAAATGTTATCTACTCTTCGATAAAATTTTCGATTCCTCATGTAAAATTTATTTAGATGGACTTACAATATTTTCGCACTAGGAGGTTGGTCCATCGACAGATCCTCGAGGTGGAGTCGAGGGCACGCCGCGACGTCCCCGGGGACGCCTCCAGCTGCCTGCTACCTGTGCTCTCTCGGGCTAGCCTTTTTTCTTCATCTTCTTTAACTTTTTTTCTGCAGCCACCCAGAGCACGGATGATTAATGGTCTCGACTTCTGGCTGATATGGGTAACGACACGTCTCAGATTGTCTGTTCCTAATTGTCAGGATAGCTCCAGGAATTCATCCTCCGTGTCACCGGTATGGAAAGCCTGGGCTGGATTGAAGGCAGCGTTTTCAGGTGGTCGTCCATTCAGTTTTTAAAAAAATTGAAACCTGACCGACAGATAATAACGTCATGCAAATAATAAATGATAAAATTATTATTATATATATAATAATTTAAGAGGAAACAATACTGTAATTGTTTAAGTATTTAGCTAACATCAGGGTCATAAATAAATATGGACTGATGAATAAGGGGACATTTTTCCATTTTGGGAGGCTTAAGCCATAAAGACCCAATCACCATGGTTTCACTTGAGTTGAGTAGTAAATAAAACTGCAAAAATTTTCGGTTAACCTCTTATCTTTAGGTTCAGATACTTTGTATTGAATTAACCCAAGAAGTTTTTTTTTTCAATAAGCTTGCAAATACTACATCAACATCATTTCACATACTTTTTTGTTCTTTTGGATGAATTAAAGCTATTAGTCAGTGGTACAGACCCCTTTTTATCAAATTATTAACATCCGGCTGAAACTTCGTAAATAGCTTCATCTCATCGCAACCTACAAATTATTTATTTACGAAAAGTTTCAGAATCGGTGCGTTTTCAATCCACAAACTTTGTCTATTTAATTAGGTACTAAAAACTTGTAAATACCCATTAAGGTTCGTAAGATAATTGAATCACAAAATCGATAAAAAAGGTGACCTACAAAAATATTGGACCGTTTGGCCTGTATAGCCTCGTTATTTTGACAATTTGGGGGTGTAGGCCACTAAACAGCTCAATATTTTTGTGGGTCACCTTTTTTCCATTTTTTGTGTGGAAATACTCTTACCATTCAAGTGGAAATCAAATGGGTATTTACGAACTTTTAGTACCTAATTAAATAGACAAAGTTTGCCGACCTCCAGATTGAAAACGCCCCGATTCCGAGAATTTTCGTAAATAAATTATTTGTAGGTTACTATGAGATAAAGCTATTTACGAGGTTTCAGGCGGATGTTAATAATTCGATAAAAAGGGGTCTGTACCACGGAATATTAGATATCCCAAAAAACACGTAGTTTAATGTTTCCATTGTATATTGTGTTTTTCCATTTTCAAAATATATTTCTGTGACACAGCGTAGTCAAGAAATCCCCAACCTTTTTCTACCTGAAGGTACCGATATTTTTTAGTTAATTTCTAGACTTTTCATTATTGAATTTTTATAGTAGTTTTTCTGGCTGAAGCTTCCCATAATGGAAAAATGTCCTTTTATTCATTGGTCCATATTTATTTATGAACGTGATGTGAGCTAAATACTTATGCAGTATTTTTTTACTTTTAAATTGTAACGAATGTATTCCAGTAAGAACGTTTCAAGTAAAAAAAATGTTAAGAAATTATCCATAATAAAAGAATTATTTTCCTGTAAAATTTATTTAATCTTATTTTTCAAGTGAAAACTTCTCTAAAGAAGCGCGCTTTGCACTTTTTAGTGGGAAGTGAATAAGAAGCAAATAGGGAAAAATGTGTCGAAAAACAAATGATAACCAGTTTTGATAAACATGTGGATCAAAATATCTCAGAAACTAAAAATCGGACCAGCATAATGTAAGTGAGAAAAATTTTTAACATTTCATCCTCTTTGTAATGAGCTATAAATCAAACTTGTATTTTAACTTGACGCTAGGTTAGAAAGTCGGAAAGGGAAAAATCATCAAAAAATCAAATAATAACGACAGTTACGAGCATTTGGACAAAATATCCCAAAATTTAAATACCGTGCAGAATTCAGGAACAAATTTGCGGTCAAATATAGAGTCAATATAGATATATTAAAAAAAATTCGGAGCTTTGTTAGATATTTAGCAAATATATTTCAACCATAAGTATTGATCACCTATTATCATACACTTGATGTATCATTTTTAGAGTATGGAAAAAATGACGATCAGTCAAAGTTTACTAGAATAATTTATATACAATCATAATTGTATGTAAAGTAAATGTTATTACGTTGTGTTTATAGAACAAAAAAAAAAAAATATATTTCATATTATTAATCTTTTTATGTTTTCATTTCTTTAGTATGGTCTAAAGCAGACACGGTTTTTTTGTTTTTTGGGGGGATGGGTATTACAAACCAACTAAACATAATTATATATAGTCTTTTCTTTATTTTCCAGATCAATAATAGTCATTAAAACAATTAGAATTTTCAGCTAAATAGTTTCAAAACATTTGTTTGATCTCACTGAATACGAACAATTAAACTTGAAAATCAGTCCAGATTGGTTCGTTCAAAAATCGCAACTTACTGATTAAACAAATTTTATAAAACAGTTTGTCTGTGTTGTGAGCCCTGATAGTTTCAAAACACTCACGAGATCTCCCTATATAGAATGCCAACAAATTTAAAAATCGTTCAAAACTTCGCCACAGACCAAGAGTCGTTAATAGAACACATTTCCTCTTTTTTTGGAGGTAAAATTGTATTCATGTATATATTTTTATTTTTATTTGAACAGTTCTCTATTTATTTGTAGTTTTTATCAGTAGTTGGTAATTTACCGAAATCTGTAGATAAAAAAAAAATCATATCAGTTACTTTTTTTTTTACTTATCCAAAATCCAGTAGCATACCAAATCCTGCGAGGATCAGAAATGATCTATGGACAGTCGCTAAAGATAAATCAAAGGAATACATAGGAATATACGGCCAGAGGAGAATTTAGATTAGATAACGCATGGAGGTACACTTTTATCACGGAATGAAGTGTCAATATTTATTTATATATCATCCTTGCTGAGGGTAAATAAATTGTTATCTTATTTATCGAGTAGCTCCTTCGTAGGCGCAGTTTCTTCACCGGAATGTGGAACCTTTTAGAATCTCAAGTGTCACGGGTTCACGGTGTGGGTCCGTATTTTTTTGTAATGTGTGCATTAATTGTCAATTTAAAGATTTCTATATTTTCCTTTTAGCACTTCATGATCAAAATTGTATAATTAAAATATACATTCATAACCATCTTGCAATTGAAAAAAAAATCAATAAATATTTGTGAATGATCATTATCTTAGCCTTCTGTTTCAGCTGTTGGAGTGAGATGTATCATGCCTACGTTCCTCCAGGCTCAATTAATGAAAGTTAACCGGTTAGTAAATAACTGCTACATTAGAAATTAAAAGTTTTACTCATAATCCATCAATAGCAACCGAATGATAGTTTTTGAAATTTTTGTTCATTCTTGTTTCATTAACAATTAGGGTGAACGTACCAGTCATGGACACGGGGTCCAGTGATATATAGGTTGGACTTAAAAGCTTTGTTGCTGATTCAAAGGTTCCATTTTTTATTATTATATTAAAGAACAATGCCCTCTATTGACAACTGAACGAAAAAAGTTGCCAAAAGAAAATTTTAGAATGTCTATCATTTATAGTTGTTTATTTAGTGCTCTTGAGATCAGTGTGTTTCATATCTTCCTACCGACACTTTTACTTATAGTAAGTTGAACATTTATGTTGTTAAGTTGAACACAACTTAATATTTTTTCAATTTTGAAGTATTAAATAGAAAAAAGATACCCTAGAGATTCTAAATGCCTAATGGAGATGTTTATAAATATCATATTTACGACGACATAAGCCAAAAATTTCCTTAACTATGTCCATCACTGGTTCACTTACCATATGTGTAATTAATTTATTAAGCATTTAAGAATTAAATATTATTTTTTTCATATTTAAATTAATCTTAAGTTTTGAAAATCGTTGATTTAATAAGATAATCAACTAAAATATTTTTAAAAAATTTAGTAATTGTTTTACGAAAAATCGTTTCCTTTACAATACTGAGAGGAGAATTATATACAAATATATACAAAAATTATCGCTCTTTAAAAATGTACAATTTCAGCTCCAACCTCTTGTTGGTTAATGGAGAAAACATGAGAGATAGACGGTATATTATAATTCAACAGGATAGAAAATTTGCGGTTAAAATACTTTCCCTTGTCCAACAAAAAATGTATTCACAATGTTTCATCAAGATCCACCTCGCCTAACTTAAAATACATGCTTGTAGGCCACCGAGGAAAAACATGACAACCAAGTACCATCTAACACCTCGAACTTGTACGAGCTGTATTTTTCGTGAAGATATTTCGATTTAATTTAAAATTTAATAAATATTTTAACACAAGCTGAAGGATATTGACTTTGGAATAAAAGCGGTGATGGCATGGAGCCTTCATAGTCAATGGAACCCCATAAAAAATGTACGCAGTGACATTTTGCAATAAGCCTACGATATATCTAATCAATTTTATCTCTGATGATGGGACATATGTTATTGCCGAAACTTAATTATTCATTATGTTTTTATGTAATTTCGGTTATCCTGAAAAAACAAATTTCTAATATATAACACACAGACAAATATTTTTTATTTATTTATTTTTTGTGGAGTTTTACTCAATCCACGATGTCAATCTATTTTTCTTTTTAACTAATTATTATTTTATTATTTTACAGAAATCGTAAAGCCACAATTACATAGAAAATCATATACAAATTGTCATTTAGGTAAATTAAGTCCTACTATATCAAATCCTCTAATCGACAAAGTAGTAGGACGATAGATATATGGATGGATGGACCTATTTATAGAGGTAGCGTACAAAGGTAGAAGGTTTAGCTATTATCCATCAAGCCGGACCCGAAGTAATTGGATGAACTGGGAATCGTAGCAGAGAGGTACATGGAAGATGGCTCCCGCAATCGCTCAGTGGAGCTGGTAGCCGAAGCGATCTGTTTGCGATCTGGAAGGCCCCGATAGCGGAATTAATGATAGTCAATTAAGAGGAACCTAATGAGGCGATGGGCTGCTATCCTATGATAGATGGAGCCCATGTTCACTCTCCGGGCCCCCATGTTCCTAGATCCATGTGTCTATGTATCCGCTCTTCCCTTATTAAGCAGGCATTGGCTTTATTGTCACTGAATCGACGGCTTTTGATAGAACCACTACCAATATACCTCCTCACTGAATTATACCAACTCCATCAAACCGAATTATATATAAAATAGATTATTTAAGTATTACATATGTTTTTTCTGGTATTGTGGTAAACAAATACAATTCAATTATGATTGCATCTTTAAATAGAAGAATAGCTATAAGCGTAAATTTACAAGTATTTTTTTTACTTGCAGGAATCGACTACCATCGCTCTTTGTCTTTCGTTGATACAGTCTGCGGAACATCTCCGATCAATCAAGAAAAAGTGCACCCAAAAAAATATGGTATCTTACCCAAGTTAGAGGTTTTTGTTCTGAATCAAGCGAAGAGTATGGATAAAAGATTTTCTCGAGACTTTTTGACATTGGAGTCCTAGGTGAATCTACAGGGAGGAGGGGGGAGAGAATGATAAAATAAAACTATTCATTATATATATGAAAAAAAAAATTCTGGTTGAAGCGTTTGTGAAACCCAGCGATTGGAACTGGATGTGTTGGTCTCCAAACATATTCACAATGCATCTCATGAAAATTATGACGTATAGTGAAAAAAACTACGGTGTCAAAACAAAAAGAATTAAGCATCAAAATATTTTCTTTTATTAGAAGGGTTTCTGAGCGATAGGGCCTTTTTTTTATCCGATACTAGGTTAACGCAACATCGATTTTCAAAATCATCAATTTTTTTCGCTTCAAAACTTGAACGAACTACCACTTACGAACCCTTTTCAAAAAAGATCTTCAAGTTCAATGCTTTTCTGCTTCGATACTGTTGGTTGTACAAAGAAACTTTAAGGAGACCTAATTAAATCGAACTTGTTCGCACCAGCGGATCCAGGATTTAATTTTGGGGGGCTTCAGCCTGGAAGCTTTTCTTTTCATATATATAACGATGATTATATTGGAAAAAGAGAAAGATACTAACTACCTATATGAAATGGTGTTTAAGTGATACTTGAAGCCCTATGAAATGTAATTAAACGAGCAATAATACTTTACGACATATTTTTTTCATATTTTTTACCATAAAACATGGTTTCATTTTACCATTTTGTGGGGAGGGGGCTTCAAACACGAGTGATATGTTTTCATAGATATGCCAATATTTCAGAAATGGCTCGTTCAATTTGGATAAAAGTTGAAAGAAAGGAGTGTTTTGGTAAAATAATGTTTTGGATAGATTTTATTGGATTACGTCATCTAGTTTCTCTTATATATGCGCAAACGCGTTTTTCTTGATTCATCTCTATTTCTTTCATGCCAATAACGTTTGGAATCGACCAAACAATACAACATATCAACTTTTAAAATAAAACCTAAAATGTTATAACCTCATTAAGATATTGTATTGACACATGATTTACTTTATTGATTTAGTAAAAAAAAAACAATCTTATTTGTGATTTTGTTTGTTTCTATTGAAATTCAACCAGCTTGTCGTGGTCCCGATTTCCTCCCTATATATCAAAATTGTATGCTTATTTTTAGTTTGACCCAAAGTTGGAGGAAACTTAGGGTCTAGTTCAGAAATTGTCTATCGCTAATTTCATTTACAAATTAAAATTAATATAAATAACTATTGACAATATAATGGCTGTGAAATGTGGAAGGCACTGATTACATGGAATAGGGATTAGGTTAATAAGTAAAAAATAATGTTCTACAGCAAAGCTTGTATCATTTGTTTTGGTTTTTAATGTTTTGAAAGTGTTACATCAACTGAAGCAAGTTTTCTATTTTTCTTAGCAGATTACTAATAATTAGGGAAAAAAAAAATATTCAGGCCAATATTAGGAATCAGCTTTTATTTATTTTTCCTCATGTTACAAGAAAAGTAATGTTACTTTTGATGTCGGTTGTTTTGAAATAATAAACCGTTGTGCAATAATTTGCAGCATTATTTAATAGTTTTAATTCCTAAATCTTATAATTAATAATGTTGAATACAATAAAATCATTTCAGAGAATTTGGAGTTCCATTTTGCAAACAGCAGCAACTGCTCGTATATGCATAACTATATGCATAACAATAATAATAATAAATAATAAATAATAATCTATTATAAGTGTCCTTAAATGTGCCAAATTGTAATATTTCTGAATAAAGTGTTAAAAAAAAAAATAATAATAACTGTACACTTGAACTCTGTTCGGGTCAGTGAATTAATCCGGCATAAAGCTGAGAATTGAAAAAATAAAAAATAATAATATAATAATAATAATTCATATTAAAAAGATATCAAATATAAGAAAGAGTAAATCATTAAGTTTATTCTGAGCACGAAAATTCATTTGTTAATTTTAAATGTTCTCATATTTGCTTAAAATATTTAATGACCATATGCATTCCAGGTCCAAATTACATGAATTTTTTTATAAAAATAAATATTTATATTTAAATTTCCAAAAACTTATTTTTAAAAAACAAATTCACCTTAGTATTTTCTGAATGTCGCCATCAATCTATTTAAGATTAGTAAACTAAAAACCTGTAACATAAAATAAGGTGTCGTTAATTAAAAATAAAAGAGGCTGTGTTCGCTTATTGATGAAGGCGATTTTTTTTCACAACGAATCTGCTACGATGACAAATGTTAGGAGCTGTGAAGTGTACAGGAATAAGAACACAGAAAGCACATTAGCCGAGAATAGAGTTTGATACAGGTAGCAGTGAGCAAAATAAAAAATGAAAACTGGATTTGTGTGTTGGTAATGCATACTAAACGTCCCAAGACAGATCGTTTTCTATATCTGTCAGGAAATATTTAGACTTCATAATGATATATTTATTAATAAATGGTAGCGAGGGGGCCATGTCTTGTCCCGATGAAACAGCATTCGATTACATGTCATGTAATGGAGAAATCGTTGCAGGCACCAGCGTACTCAAAATCATCTTTTTGAACTTGTTGAAATACAATAAAACTAATCGTTTATTGTTGAAAATATTGTTTTAATTTATATTTCTACAATATCCATAAGTTATTGTTTTATTTATAAAAACATTTCCCAAAATATTATAAAAATAGAGGAAGGAGATGGTCCGGGGTGGCGGTCATAAATAGGCTAAATAGTTTTAAAACTATTTTATTGAAAACCAACGTTTCGTCCCGACTTTGGAGGCCTTCTTCAGGGTTAGAACGGACAAGATACAAAACGATAGAGAATTGTGGAAGTTACATAATATTTAGATAAAAAATTATAAACAATGTGAATTAGCTTATTAAAATTATAAACAGTAAGTACATTAAAATATAAACAGAGTAAGCTAAGTAACAAGATCCTAAACTAAAGTAAATAGATGCTAACAACTGTTGTAGTGTAATATATAATAAATTCAAATGTGAATATACTTCTACAGATCTACAGGAGAGATTGAAAGAAAATGAAAAAGCATATAATTTGAAATAATAGACATAAAGGAATGCGGAGAAAGAAAAGAAGAAAAGTTTCTTTTCTTTCTCCACATCTTTTTGTATCTTGTCCGTTCTAGCCCTGAAGAAGATCTGCAAAGTCGAGTCGAAACGTTGGCTTTGTGTTAATAGTTTTAACACTATTTAGCCTATTTATGACCGCCACCCCGGACCATCTCCTTCCTTTATAATGCAACGGTCAACTATTAAATATTCATTATAAAAATACGTACGTACCATGATCATTTTTCTATTTCAATAAACTTTACTTAAACAAATTGAATATTTAACATATCCATTTTAAATTACAATTTTGTATGCTTTGTGTTACTACCTGTTGCTCGTTTCGGGCAAATTAAAGACATCTATATCAACTAGATAAATTAAAAAATAAACTACCCATTCCATCAAGGGATGGAGGTAAGGCCGGATACGGAAGAGAAGTCGATAGATCTCAACATTATTTCTAACATGTTTGTGAAAAGTCAAAAAAATATTAGATTAAGACAAATAAAAGAAAAAAATTATAATTAGTTATTATTGATTTTCAGCATTATAAATGGTCATTAAATGTTATTTCAAATCGGATAAATCTTTTTCTACTGGAATATAATGAATTTGAGGTATAACATATATAAAGTTATGTTTGATTTTTTTATTGTATAATTAAAATCTTCAAGACATATACCATAGTTACCCACCAGACCAATTCAGCAAGCTGATCGATTGATTTCCCTAGAAGCAGTATCAGAGTTTAGGGAGTTGGAGAAAATTACTAACTAAGGTTTATTAATTACTAAGGTTTATTAATTATTAAGGTTTTTTTTTTGGTTTTTTCAATGATGAAAACAAATAAAAACTTGTTACTTAATTTAAAAAAAAAAAACTGCGTACTTTGCCTTAAAGCTACTACTGTTTTTTGACTTTTCATTGAATTAAGTCTCTCGAGAATATTTTTTCGTATTCCATTTAAAAAAAATAAAGAGGAGTAAATGGTTTATATATAAGCAGAATAACAGGAGTAAAGATACATAATAGGGTTATCATTATGAAAACTTAATTGTTTTCCTAGAGCCCATAGGAACGAACCTCGGTTCATGTGTCCAGTGTTGCCCAAAATCGGTCAAGACCAAAAGTGGTTAAAAAAATTGATTTTTTGAAGAAAAATTAAGGCTAAATAGTTGCTAATACTTAATTAATACTTAATTAGTTGAATTTTAGTTAATACATGTAAAGAATTGGTATAACCAATATACTTTTACATTTAACTTTTCTAATTTTTCATTCGAGCTTAGTTAGGTTTCTCCTATCTAAAAATTTACTGTAATATCTCTATAGTAATAAACTAAAAGATAACTGCAAGACCGTTGCGAGACTTGCGCAAGACCAAGATCTAGGCCATGACGGAGTTTGCAAGACCAAGACCCGTCTCGGTCTCGCATCTGGGCAACACTATGTCCAATATTTTTGGATGACAAATGATTAAAAAATAAATAAAAAATGGTTGTAAACTATAACCGTGGCCTCCTCTTGTTACTCAATTTTATACACATAATAGGAAAAAATCAATAACAGAGAAAAATTAAACTTAAAGGACAAATTTGCGTTTGATACCCCTCCATCCCGATACCTTCCTGGCAACATTTGCTGGTGACACCGCTATCCTATCATCCGGCTCAGATCCCGAAGTAGCCCTCTTAAATCTGCAAAGGCACAGGTCTAATGAAAGTTGGTCTGCAAACAAAACCATAGGCGCCGACTTATGAAAATTATTGTTCCAAACTATGGATCACGGGATGGAGTGGAGGTCTGAAAG